GATATTTTATATTATTTTTTAAAGTGAACAGTGCACAAGTTATGGTAGTAGGTTTAAAAATGCCGGTCCCCAGGGTGATTTAAATGTTTAAACCACTGGTCCACAATGTTTTAATGTACTGTCCTGACAGTGATTCAGAATGACAGAGGAAAATAAGGTCAGCCAATCCTGGCAAAGACAGAATCCAGTTCATAAATACAAGCCAGACATGCATTACCACAACAGCCGGACTGTATATGTAAATGCCTAAATCTATACAAATGAATTTCATACAAATGTAATGAATATATTATGTTTTAACTCCAAATTCTGCAATGAACATTTTCCAAATATCTACTATTAAGTATGACACCACATCTTTTACAAATACTACAAGGAAATCAGCAGACTCCTATTCCTTAATATGAAAAGATCTTAATAGATGCACAGTATTGGAATGTCATTTAAATAAGTAATCTGTTGGTTATGTGTAATCAGTTACAATGTGCCTTGCTATAAATGTGCTTTGGAATACATGTCATGACTTCAATTCATCTTGTAAGAGGCATTTTGAGCCTTATTTACATTTATTTTAAGGGTAAACTGTAACAAAAAATAAAGTTTCTCTTATTCCATACAGAAAATTTTTGAGTTTACAATGAAATCTGCATAAAGAATCAGAATTCATATATTAAACCAAAACTAAACACTGAAACAATAAATGTGCTGCCACTTACATTAGTTCAGCTAATTTAGTAACTTAAATATATATTTCTTCTTGGCCTCTTAGGAGTAAATCCTGCATCCAATGACTAAGTGAAATAACACAGTCAGGTAGGCTATGTCTCTTTATATCTTTCTTGGAGGCAATTGAATTTTGACTTTAGTAGTCTAAGTAACTAACTAACCAGTTATAACAAAAAAGTCACTGGTTAATACTGTAAACCCTGTGAACAAAAGCGATTACTAAGTGAATATAAAATTTGCCTTACAAAGAACATACTCCATGCATTAAAATACACATCTATGTTCATTTTACTGACATACTGGTTTATAAAATGTTTATGTTAAAAGTCGAAAGCATCTTTCTGTAGGCAAATAAAGATTTTGGTAGATCAGTAATAAATTTCAGAAAAGTGAGCATAAATAAAATAATGAGGTCTTGTTATGAATAATATTATCACTATGTATAGCCAAATATATTGCTTAATAGGAAGGCATTTAAGATTACATCAGAGAAGGCATACAAGTTCAATGCACAGATGCATTATAAAACGCAAGTCTTTATGTGTAGTTGTCAATGTATAAAGAATTGTAAGAAATAAGATACTGAAATCCACACCAATATAAAATACCACTTTTCACTACCTGGTATGAAGAAATGTGACTTACAATGGTTTCTGTATTTACGTTATGTGTGTTTATAAATTACAGGAAATGCCATGAGTTATCTACAAGCTGATTTCTATTGTCTGCTGAACAACACACAACTTCATGTGGGCTCATCTTCATTTGATTCATCTTTCTTCTTTCCAAGAAATAAAAGAGGTATCATTCCAAGAAGACACCCAAGTGTTACACCCAAAGCCCTTCCCTGAAAACAAAATGGTGTTTATATTAAATCTGAAGAAATCACAAAATGGAGGATGTTCCAAATGTATGAAAAGCATTAGAGATCACAAAATATCTGAAACAGAGATGAGAAAAGTAGCCTGTGGAAAAGCTCCATCTGGCCTGCAACAAGGACATTTGGTTTTGTGTGATGTGTTTTACTTTTGTGTGATGTGTGTTATTTGTGTGTTGTGTCTTATTGCAATACCACTGCCACCAGGGAAAACCACATTTGCAGTTTAAATAAATAATATCAGTTATCAATTTTTGCCTTTCAAATGTTTAATGTAATAAAAGCAAAGGGCTAGTTAGAGAGACCAAGTGATGGAAGATACATAAAAGAGAGCATGGAAAGAGTGCACATAGATACGAGAGAAATGCTTACTGGAGGACAGGGTAGTTCACACAAGGCTTTGTCAAAAGTTGACCCATCCTAGTGATAGTGACATAGGTAAAAAAAAAAAAGGGTATCCCTGTACCAAGCCGTGGAAGCCCATAGGGTTGTGAGATGTTGAAGTTCCCATATTTTCTAGACAATCGGCTCAAAGATGGCGGCAAGGTTGTCAGCCCTATGCGCCGACCGCCCTTTACATTCCTGGTACTCATTTCTGTTAGAGGCTGAGTCAACCTCAGGGCCACAGTGCCGCTGGAAGGATTAAGTCAATTGAAAAGAATCCAATGACCTCATCGGGACTTGAACCCACGACCTTCTGGCTTGTAGCATAGCACCTCAACCAACTATGCAAATCAAGATTCAATTTAATAACACCAATCAGAGTTTAGGACATCGTGTCTGAATTATGTGCTAATAACGTTATTTTTCTGTCTTGCTGTATCTATAAAGTAAGTTTAATCAATGCATAAAATTTACAAACCTATTTACTAAATTTTCAAACTGATTTCTCCCTGCAAGGCTCTCTTGCTCATGGTCACTTTGAAGTATCTACCGATGGTCCATTAGCAAGAATTACCACTTAGAAGACTGGATGTCCTTGGACTGGCCACTCTGCTTCAGCATAACTGTACTAACAGGAATTCTGCCTCATGATGACCTAATTCTTCTACTTTCTGACACAGTCAGTTAATGCTTTGGAATTCATTAGTATGCAATATCACAAATTTTATGACTAGCAATATTTCAAGCACATCCTAATTTCGTGTATTGACCATATTGTCATTTCTAGTACATATAACATGAATCAGTTGGCTCATGATACAAGTACCACGGAAGGCTCCAGTAAATATGATAATGAACTTCTGGTTTCTATAAAGGTTGGGAAATTTCACAATGGCCAACTGATGCTTCACACCGATTCACACACTTCAGACAGTGGCGCAGTAAGGCAGGAGGGAAGGACAATACTGGGCACCAAATACAAACTACTGTACAGCAAAACAGCTCTGTCTTGGAAACTGTTCGGAATAGGGCACATATACACTTTTTTACTTAGAATGACCAATACTATGATCTCCTAGAATACTGACGTTTCTTCCTGGGACACCCTGTATAAATAAACAGCAGTGGAAAGGTACACTCCAGTTCTGTATACATATTGTCCATATCTGTTCTTTGCTATTTTGGATACTGCACTGCCCTCATATTTCTTTTTTGCAGATAAAAATCCGTTGTTATAAAACTTGCTTCGCTACAGACATTATCAAAAGATCATTTAAACTGAGCAGTGATGATGAACCACTTCAATGAATACCACAAGTGGCACATTGACAGAACTGCTGGCCATGCAATATTTTTTTCAAAGTAATAAAAAAAAATTGAGCCCTAAATCAATAACAAAATTCTAATTTATGTGTGGATGAGAATGAAATTTACATTGGTGTACACAGAAATTTTGCCTCAGACTTTCACATGCAGACTTAAGGTTTAACCCTGAAAAAGATGCTGTAGATATTAATGAAATATATTTTCTGACACACATTATTCTGTGTGATGATAATGAGCAAAGTTAAATTCCGGTTAATGTAATACAGCAGTTGTATCATTCAACACAAACCTACACTACATTCTCTTGATAACTTTAAATGTACCATATTTAACCCAAATCCATTTAGTAGTTTCAAAGCCGAAACAATAGATAGCTGAACTGAAGAACACAGCATGTGTTGTGCGTATTCAATTTATGCACTCTGTACCAAGGATGTACAAACAGTTCACTGTCGTACCATGTTGGCAGCACGTCGAGAAGATGGCATGTCCAATTGTATCGGGGATAGCTTCGGTGGTCGCATGCCAATGCGAGCTGCCAGCCTCTCAACATACCAGGCAGAACCTATGCCCATTATGTCTGAGATAGTGTTTCCCAAGGCAGCAGCGGCCATTGTGGAGAGCACCATGACACTGCCAAGCATCATCTCAATCTGCTCACCCTGAAGAACAAATCAAGCATCTCATTTACTAAAGCCAAAAGGGAGAAAGTACAGGTACTCCATAATTTTGATATCAAACCCAGGACCTCCTGAATACAAAACAGAGTTAATAACCAATCAAACATAATGACTGGTCATTTCAATAATTAATGGGGATCATTTTAATATTATATAGATGGTGCAGACCTTTCTTATTTCTTTCCACTCATCATTTGTTCTATTTGAAGTTTCACATACTGTGTTCTAACCCAATAAATATGGGGGCAGAAGAATCTAATGACAAAACAGAGGAAGTAATATTGCAATACCTATTGGATATTCCTTTTTAGCTGGCTTCAAAATGGCAAGAGGTCTTAGTGGATATGTAGCCTGTATGTTTTTGGTGAGTCCCTCCTAAACTTTAGAATACCCTAGGTGATTTTTCAAGAAAATCCATATTATCAGATCATCAGGTGTTATTCTGACAAAGAATATTTTAACCGTTTCCATGCTATGACCAGACATGTAGTTTAGAAGCACTGGCCCCATTGGTCTGGTTTCACTTGGTGTTCAAGAAGAACGGTGAAAGAAATGTTGACCTCATTTTCTCACTTAACACTACTTAATACCTATAGCAATATGCAGTTGAATGGTTATAATTCTGCCTTCAAGTTTGGAAGGGTTTTCCTAATCTCTCCAGACATGCTAGGGCAGTGCCTTAAATTAGGTCATGACTGCTTCTGTCCACATCCTGGTATGAGTGTCAAAAAAATCAGATATCCCAAGAAAAATATATCCAAACTCAACTATGTTCACCAGAAATCCATGTGAACTGTGCTGCTGAACATGGGGGAAAGGCCTGTTACATTTGTTTGGAACATGTAGCATGTGATGACAATATCTTCAGATGCAAGTGACTAGTACATTCGATATCGAATGTTACTTATAAAATTAAAATTTGCGAGCTATCTACTCTCCCTTCCCTTACAATGTACTAGCATAAAGCCCACTGAAAATGAAATGGGAAATTGTTAAAAAAGAACTTGGTCAAAAATATACAAAAACAATAGCTTTAGAAATTCTTAAAAGACAGCTAATTTAATACTACGATAACCTTAATATGTGTTAAATGATGCTGCTATCTAGAGGAAACACTTCTGACAAAGGCAAACAGATATCAGAAAAAACATGTAAATTCTCCTTTTCTTCAATTTATTTCTGTCACCACCTGACCAAGTTGTGAGTGAATGATTTGGACCTCTGATGCAAAACTGACATTGACAAACACTTTACATATTTTGATAACTACCGTTATTTTGACATTACCATCATACATCCAATTTTTCAGATGTAAAGTAATGCAAAGCTGTCCCTGTGCTTAACTATTAAGCACCATGCCACAAAAGAGTATGTGGGAGTGGATGTACGAGTATAGATCCACATTTTCTTGACCTCAACACTAGCTGGAGGTGGGTGGTCAGCTTCACACCCAAACTTTTCCGGATGTACATTTTAAAATCTTCAGTTGCATTAATACACATCCAAGCATTATTCTTAGTGATCAAAGATACATATAATAAATGGGTGGATCCTTCGAAATAAACAATTCAGACCTCTGACTATAGCTTCAATGGATAACCCCTCGAATGATCCACGCCTTTATCTTAAATCGTGATTTTAGGGCATGCGCGCTGCTAATATCATCATTTTTGTTATGGACGAAGATGGAAAATGCAATGCCGACTGAAGCATTGATGTCTCTCACTGGTGAATGGCGAAAACACAGGATGACGCTATACCACGTCTGCACTCTTCTGGTATTCACGAAAGAAGGTGTTAGCTGTTTGCTGTTGCCCGTGACATCAGTCTTACGGCTATTGTAACGTAAGGCCTTTTACACACGACGCCACCACGAATTTTGGTGGCGCTTTTTCTGGTAGCGAGAATATTTTTTCTCGCCACAAAATACGCCACCAGTCATGGATCAGTCTCAAAATGGAGTTGGAAGAGGCAGGCGCTTTAATCTTGTTGTTCTCCTGTTTGCGTATAAGCCCTAAAAAACGGAGATTTTGGATACACCTAATCTTAAAGAGACCGATCAAGGAGAGTTCTTTTTCTACACATTGTACAGTGACCTTCGACAGAATCCCGACAAATTCTTCATTTTTGCGCGCATGAGCATCGCATCTTTTGATGAGCTGCTACAGTGTATGAAATAAAAACTGACTGGTGTGGACACCAATATGAGAGACAGCATACCACCGGAAGAAAAGCTCATGGTCACATTGAGGTAAGAAGAAATTTGACCTTCTTATAGGTTAATTTTAATTAGCTTTATTTTTTGATTGAAACTAATACAGCTTTAGAAATACAAAATTAAAAAGAACATGTTTTTTTTTGCATTGATATTTTCAATTTCAGAGTCACAGCTGTATTGGGTTCCGGGAGTCAAAGTTCGATAGCTCTGCTTCGGCACTCATTTTAACGCTGAGTTTGAAGGAACAACACACTTCACAGAACACAATGCAGAAACGTCTTGCCGCACTCACAGTCGCGTCTCGTGTGAAGACCTCATATAACACAATGGACTGAGGTGGTGGCGCTGCCAAGCTGGTGGCTCGAAAAATCGCGTCCTTCCGCCACCAGCCGTATGGCAGCGCTTCCAGGGGCGCCACAGCCACCACGTGTGAAAGCTTTCATTTAAAGTTATTTGCTGACACGGCCGCGNTCTGCTTTTACCGTTCTCACGGTCTTGTCGCTTGCAGATTTCTTATACTTTTTCTTCTACCCTGAAGATGGAGGCGATACGTTCCTCCGAAACGTCGGTTAACACCACTTATACACGGTGCCAAATCCCAGAAGACTGCTTTCTTCATAGTCACCGCCGTGAAAGCCTCAAATCTTATATAGAGGAGCTGTTGGAAACTGTTTTCTACGTGGTCCGTGCCCAGATATTATAACTGAGACAAGTTTGGAAGTTAGTTCTGTACGGGAGTCTGTGAAGAAAGGACTTGAGCGCGTGAAGCTGAAGAATCTCCACTGCATGCTGGAGAAGACTTAACGTGTAAAATATAGAAATCAGCGATAGTGCTATAGTTATTTGTAGTTACGACCTGTAAGTTGTCAATAAATCCAATCCACACCCCGTCTACAGTCAGGTATACACGTGACAGTATAATAAAGTTCATAAGTAAGATGTGGAAACGTCGGAACCGTGTGCTTTTGTCTCTTCTGCTGCAATAAACCGTCATTAATTAGTCTTTTACCTTTGAATCCTACAACAGCACAAAAAAAACTCTTAGCTGGAATATGAACTCCAAAGGAGTTAGGCGACGGACATCTGGACTACTAGCAGAATCAACAAAACTGTAGTCTAACACATGAAAAACAAACTTCGTGGCTTTTAGTCCGTAAGCGAACTATACCGACCGAGCGACCGCCGCTTGCCGACGAAGTTGGTGCCAACTTTTGTCTATAGAGGGTGTCGCGTGATTAGCGCAACGGCTTCCCACGGCCGTTAATCTCAGTTTTCAAGACCGGAGCCGCTAATTTTCCATTCATGTAGCGCCTCAATTATCCTCACGAGGCTGAGTGGACCCCGTTCCAGACCCATCACTTCTCAGAAAATCTGGTAGCGCCGGAAATAGAACCCGGGACCTCTGGATCTGTAGCTAGGAACTCTTGGCCACTAGACCACAGAGGCTGTCCAGTCTAACACATTACACACAAAAATTACTCAGATTGCAACAGATGATGGAAATGCTCTGTTGTTTTTGTTCTTGTTAGCGTATGTCCAGTACAGATTTCATCCTCGACCTCAGCCACTCTCCACATAAAAGAGGAACGAATTGAAATACCGAGCACTCACTGAAGGGAAATTGGATGAAATCGGGGCTAGGCTTACTCTATTTGAGAATCGATCAGACGCCCTGCACACGAGACGGGGTTTCGAGTTTCAGGTTTATTCTACGTGTATTTCCAAATAGAACTCCAACTCTTGAACGAAAATTTTTACGGAGGTGGCAGTAATGCATTAATAACAACAGATAGCGTTTCCAGCATCTACTGTGTTGATTTTCTACGCAGTTATTATAAACTGTTAAGTCTTTTAAACACTGTCGAGGCAGAGAACATTACTGACGTTTCGGGAGTACTTGCTGCCCTCTTCAAGGTCGAAGTGACGACAAAGATTAATTCCGACATCGATGGTGGCCAACAGAAACTTTAGTCATGATGTGACTCTCTTAAGTGGCCGGGCGAAATGGTCACGGGCCAGAATTAAGTTTATCAAAGATATTTTACAGCTTGGCCGTTATCATGTTGGCTCAATGGCGGCGTGGAGACTGTCTTTTGAGGAGCGAACAACTGCTCAAGTGGTGCTAGCAATCTGAGAAAGCAATTAAAGTGCACAATACATTAAGAAGTAACTTCAGATCTGAACCTTTGTTAGAAGAGAGAGAGAAAAAACAACTACATTCGAGAATTGAAGAAACCGCTGCTGCTTCTTATAATTTATAATTGTCTTTATGTCCATTAAAAACTCCGTGGCTTTAGTCCGCAAGCGAACTATACCGACTGAGCGACCGCCGCTTGTCGGCGAAGTTAGTGCCAACTTTAGCGGTTAGAGGGTGTCGCGTAGTCAGCGCAACGAATCCTCACAGCAGTTAATGTCGGTTTTCTAGACCGGAGCCGCTATTTTTCCATTTAAGTAGCTCCTCAGTTATCCTCACGAGGCTAAGCTTTATGTCTATTAACATAATAAATAACTGTACAACAGCAGTTATTTATTATTATAGTACGACAGGTTTCAGTCCTTTAGATAATCTTTAGGTCGCTACAGTTTACAAATGAAACCGAAAATTAGAGAGATGTAACGCTATTAACATTCAGTGGGAATGGGACTCAATTTTACATGCCGTTATTAACACGCCAGAGGTTGTTAATATGTATATATCATTAAAATTACAATTTCACATTAATACACAACAGTAAGCAAACATAAGTTCGTTGCTGCTTCTTTG